AGTTGTGGCAGACGCATGTGCATGTTTCTCGGCGTGAGAAAATGCACATGAGGTCAATAGCATCAGTAAGATAAGTGTCACAATAAGACATTTTGTGATTTGGGAACACCTAAACAAGTGAATGCAACAATGAGCGTTGAGCTGTCCACATGTAATTTTCTCCAATTTCTTCTCAGAGCTTTAGGAGCAAGGAAAACGAGTTTCATATTAATTCTCCTCTGTGTGGGGACATGACAGCTCACAGACAAGAAGATGAAAAACAGTCACTATAGCCATTTAAACTGTCATTAAACTTCAGCGAGTCATTTGGTCATGCTGTGCAGTGAGTAAGCTTTTGACAAATAAGGCAGGATTTCTTTTACACAACCAGTCCTCCTGAGAATCTGCTCTACATTTTAAGACTTGTGCTCATGGGTCCGTCTGCCACCATAGGCTCTTAAACAATTTTTAATAGGGAACATCTACAAAAAAAAACTGTCCTAATACCAGTTTCATAATTACTAACAATGCCTGTCTATGTTTATCCACCACCTTATATTAGTGTCATGTTTGCCTCCAGAAGGCGAGGTACAGAATTAGCTGTGATTTAAAATAAAGAGACAAGCTGTATCCCCCAACATGCAACACTACATCAGCTTCACTCTCTCCACTGTCAGCCTGAACCAGATACACGGAGCAGCACTGATATGTCTCAGACTTTATTAATCCTGATAAGAGAATCAATAGAGCTCTATTGTAGAAACAGCTGCCCTGATTTTGATTTGTGTTGACTAGGATGGTACATTATGTGCTAACAGGATGTCGCCTATGTGAGAATGAACACACACTCACTGGGAGGAGGTGAATTTACAAGAACAATATGAGCGATTCACTGAATAATTAAAGTTGTGCTCTGAGTGAACAGAGAAAGCGTACAGGTCACACATTTTTTATTTATCTTCCAAAACTAATACTTCAGCACTAGTGCCACTCTTCAGTACTGCTTTGGACAGCTTGTTTTGCCTGAGGCTTGATAGAGAGCACATCATATAGTAGTTAGAAAGCACACCGTATCTAACAACTGTGGCCCAACGGTGGCGATTTTCCTTTCATGTAAACCAGAGGAACGAATAAATGCGCTGCAAGAAAAAAAAACATGAACAGAGGAAAGTTTAAAAATGCATAAATGCTCTTAAGTCACTCTGCGCAGACATTAATATTTATACAAGCCAGATGAAATGGAAAATAATTTATAGCTACTTACCTGAACTTGCCCCGTTAAGCCTCTTAAACTTCTAATTTTTGCAAAAGAATCGCAACATTTTTACTTTAGCTGCTCATTTGAAAGCACCACAGAAAACCTACACGGTTTCAAGCAAGATGTGGCATTTATATCTTGTACTGTTTAACAACTGGGAGTACAACCCGCAAGGGATTCTCCTTAAAATATCCTGGGTCATTCATTTCTAATATGCAGGCTTGTACAGAAGCATGAAATACCTGGCTCTTGGATATATGCTGGGCAAATGGCTGCTGTTAGGCATGTGGTCAAAGTGATTGGCTTAGAAACGCATCTTGTTTGGCTTCAGTTTGCAAATTGCTGCGCTGCATTTTCACACAGAGTTCTTTTTTTTTTTTTTGCATTGTTTTAATTAACACCTGCTCATGGGATGTTAGGGCCTACTTCTATTCTTAGTCTGACCTATTTTGTGGTTAAAATTTGTATTTTTTTTTCCTGAATGCAAATGAGGGCTGCTAATGTGACCTAGGAGGATCAGAATAATCACCTACATTGTCTCTGGTGTCACATCACTTTGCAGTGAAAACACGCAGAATCCTGCGGTTAAGCTATCAGTTGTGAAGAGTTTTGTAATGGCCTCCCTGCTGTGTCAAACCGCAATCTATTAAATATTCTGCTTTGGCTTCTTTAATAGTCTGACTTAAAACAATGCATTTATTGTTGCATGTTTGACATCCTAAAAAAGTGAAAGTCTATTTCCTGATATGACAGGGAGAAGAAAAAAGATTTGTTTACATCGCTAAGATAATCCAAGCATTTCAAAGCTTATTAGCTGCACATGTCACATGTCAGATCTGTGTTAAAAATATAACAATCCATGTAATTACAAATGTTGGTGACAGTGAAAGAATAAAACCTGTAATCTCTGCTGTCACAAGAACCAATCCCTGTAATTAACTTACTCATCAACTTTTTCATGCGAGGGCAAAAAAATGTGTCACCTCCTCTATCTAATTTCTGAACTGCACATATGTTTGAGACAAACATTCAGATATTTTATTTACTGTTTGATTGCTGTATTCATTCACTCCTGGGTGATGCAGGAAACAGCAGCTGTACAGTTCTTTGTACTTTTCCTATTATCTAACGGGAAACTCTTCACACAGTTCAGTCAGTATATTACAGCCTCAATATCTAAACCTGAGCCTGATAAAAATGTAATTTTGACTCACCAGGGTGCTATCAACTAAACCTTCACTGGACAAGGTGTCTCAATGCTTTTCGGTATGCTTTTCACACTGGTGGATCAAACCAACAGCCGTGTTCAGCTAATACTAAGCAGCAGCAGAGCAAAGTTGAATCAAAAGTGATCAGACAGCAGTTGATTGTGGTTGTGTATCAGAGGTTTGGTGGGTAATGACACTACACCTGAGTCTATTACAGAGATAACAGTAGTGTTAAATGAAAAATCCAGATTTGGACACTCTGGACACTCACACTTAGTGCAGGTCGGTTATTTTGTGAAATGAATGGTGCTGTTTTCTTGGCAACAAGTTCATCAGCCTTATGACTAACACAGGAGTTACATAAGGTGACAGCGCTGGGGTGGCGGAGTTGTGATATGCTGTTCGCAGCTCTTAGCTAAACTGTTGGCTGACACAGATTAGTTTGGAAACTGCTCAGCCTGTCAAGCCAGCAGATTAAAACCATCCTCTTAGCGTATTGTTGAAATCAGAAGCAAAGTGAAAAGTATTATTCTGAAATCCCACACCCACCCTCCCCCCAAAAGACATTGACCAGATAAGTCATTTCCGCAAGCTCTTACAAACTAGAGTTGCATTTTGGAGATAAGTAGCCTACAGGAGCTGTGTTAATATCTGAGTGATCCAGGGTGACACGCAGGTAGGGATGGGGGTGGGCGCCTAAAAATTGTATCATATTTCAAAGACATCTGCAAGAATTATATTTCTGATGATGTAGAGAAATAATCCTCAACGATGTTTTATCTGAGATTGCAGCTTGCCGGCAGCACTGTTTATTTGTGCAAACAAAATAATGGACATTTTCTGTCCTTCATTTCCAATGAGCTGCTGTCATCGATGACAGACGATCTCATTCAAAGTGTGATTCTACTGAAACAAGGTGCCCCCAGCAGCAGAAATATCACAGTGCAATAGTAGTGGCACAGCATTATATTCAGTGCTGCAGCATAAGAAAAATGTAAGTGTAGAAGGAGTCTGGTTAGTGGTTTCAGTGGAAATTTTGGTGGTTTGCATTTGGATTGTGGGGACACACAGTTATTTGATACTTTTAAGCAATTATTAAAGTAACTTGTAATTCATCAGCAACCAGCACAATAAAACTGAAGCTGAAAACATTTTCTACCTGGGATGTTGTTACTTAGGTCAAGCAATTTGCTTAGTGTCCTGTTTTTCCACCATTTCAATTGACATCATATTATTACATATACTTGCCCAAAAAATATGAAGCAGCACTGGTAATTTCTACCATTTGTGCTTCCTGTCATAGGGAGTGAGGCTCGCGACTGCTACAATGATGCTCAGTTATACCTCAGTTATTCCTTGCATTTCATGGTGTGTTTTCACCTCAAGTGATGAAAAATACTTTGCTAAGTATTGTGCTTTGTTGGAAGATGTTCAAATATCTCCCTTTTTACTAAATGTCTGGGTGTGTCTTGTTGTTTTGCGCAATAAGGAATTTGCACAATAACCATTGCTATAGCAGTGATATCACAATATGACACTTTTTCCACATAAAAGTTTTGTATATTATGTTGTTTTATATTGTATGATACAGCCCAAGTGGAAGGCGTCCATAAAAGTCCATTGTTTGGTCACACCAGACAAATTTCAAACTCCAGTCTAACTGTTAGAAGTCGAGCATGTGAATACTGACTTTGGCAATTGTTTTGACTAGAAAAACATCAATACTTATTTTTAGGCTTATTGTAGGAACACCTGTTTAAGATAAGGAGATTTTTAAAGAAAGCAGGCTAGTATTAAGGTCCAATGTTTAGTAGACCCATCCATCCACCGCAACCTCCTCCCAATGGAGGCTTTCATTGTTTCATATCCTCTCTTATTTTGGACACTAGACGGTGCTGCTATGATAACAGTAATAACAATGGGCAGTCAGTCTCAATTTTACAGCAGATCACCTTGCTCGCTCTCTCTCTCTCTCTCTGCTGATACTGGAATACCAGTGCCAATGCCAAATTGTCCAGCTGTCTATTGGAACAAACAAAATTCCCCCTCCAGTAAAATCAAACCAAGAGATGCCCTCACATACATGTAAGTAGCTTACAGAAGCAGAGATTTGAGCGATTTTAGGTGTATTTGCCCTTTAAGTGAAAAGCACACACGCACATTCTTAAGCAGCTGTTCCTGTAACAGAAGGTTTAATAATGATCACTGTCTATGCTGCTTTACTTGTGAACAGAAGGGGGGTACTAATAATAAGCCTTTGGAAAAATGATCTAATTAGGGTAGAAATGAAAATTCATAAGACGGTGGGCTAAATGAGAGATCATTAAGCTGCTGGATTTGTTTGTTATTGCTTATATTCACGGGCGGTTGTTTGCAGCACAAATCATTTTTTTCATGAAGTCTTGCTGTAATTAACGCACTTGCTAATGTTGCGCTCTTTTGCTTTGCGCTATTTCTTTTTCCACAACTGTCTAAATAATTTTCCACAAAATGCTCCACAGTTTCCCACACAATTGACACGTTAAGGAACTTTTTTCCACGATGGAAAGACTTACTCGTTGTGTTGTACTTCACCCCATTAATGTACTCAGGGCAAGGTCTTTCTACAATCCTGCCAGTGCTGCTCCGTGGCCAGCAGGTTCCAATCTCATCGGTTGTGGCATTGCAATATAAACCTTTTAGGGGGGAAACATAATAAAATAAAATAAAATAAAAAATAAACGCTTAGCTTTCTATTTTTAAGATGTAACAGCAAAACATCTCAATACTGAGGAAGGAGAATAAAGCAATTCCGCCTTACCATCAGTGCTCAGCAATGACAATGAAGCATTTGCCAAAAAAGTGTCCTGGAAAGCCTCTATTAAACTACAATTTAGGTCCCCGAGCTCTCCAAATATGATCTCATAAACAGTAGCATCCATAGTGCGAGCCGCCACTTTTGGTCTGAATAATGTGCAAGTCCGAGAGGAGATAGGCACACTGCCGTGCCCAGCCGTGTTCGTGGGCATGTGAATCGGTGCAACCGTAATGACAAGTAGAGAGCCCGGCGCGCCTTCTGGAGAGCGCGCGCCTGGCCAATCAGAGCCGCGGATCCGCTCATCCCTCCACGTGAAAGACAGCCGTCACACCGCACTGACCGGATCATGAGCCTTGTTACTCTGACATTTCACACCTGCTACCCACCTGTCATGTTTATTTATGAGGGAAAAAGTCGCTGCGTTTGAAATGCAAAGTAGCGTGTGTGGGAGAGATTTAGAATGAAATGTACAGCCAGGTTACCTGTTGTTGCGAGTGAAACTTGAATGTAAGGAAAAGAAACAGAACAGAACAGAAAGCAGCAAGAAAAAATATTGGGTTCAGTTATTAATTTTATATTTGTATCATGGAGCCCTTTTTTCTGTACGCAAATAGAAAACTGACGTTTTCAGGGCAGGAAGCTGAAAAGCTGATTGTATGTCGTACAATAATTAGACTCGGTGATGACGTCGGCTCCTTTGGCTTTTGTTTCTAAATAGCACTTTAAGGACACAACACTGGGGTCTCTGTCGGTACTCTTTAAGATGAGGCAGAGCTTAATCCGGAATGTTTGGACATACCCAAGTTAAATTTTTGATTTGGATTGCTGTTATCATTTCCTGTTTTACTTTGAAATCTGTAGTTCTTATGTGTTTTGGCTTTACTTTTTCCATTATTGTCTTCACCTTGTAATATAAAGCGCCTTGAGGAGATGCTGTGATTTGGCACTGTATAAATACAACTAATTGAAGATTGAATTCAACTGAATTAAGTTGAACTGATTTGTTTTCTGTCACTTTTGCACACCATCCTTAACCTATTATGTAATGGAGTCACTATAAGGCAGTATACTTAAACCTGACACTCCAACTATGCTTGTACTCCTTATACTCAAGCCTTCTAGTAATTTCTTGGTTCTTTTCTCTCCTGTTTTGTTTTTTTTTGTTTGTTTTTTTTGGCTTTATCTGCATGCAAAAGGACATACAAGCTCCCTGACCTACGCTTCAGCCAGAACCCCTTCAAGTTTGTTTTCATTGTTGTGTCCCCAGATTTTCAGAATACGTGCCCTTTCTGCTTTCCCCTTGTCTCTTCTGGTTATCTTGTGCTTGACCCTTGCTGTGATCATTAATCTTTGGATTTTTGGACTTTTACTTGCCCCTGGTGTCCTGGATTTGGGTTGTCTCCTCCTGTAAATCGTTAAGAGGTTACCCGAGGACTGTGAAAGAACCAAATGTGCTTCTAGTAGCAGAAAAGCTGTATCTCTGGCATTAAAGTCTGACACTTGGAAGCCAACCACCCACCTCAGCAGAGGGTTTTTGTGAACGTATCTTGTCAGCTCCAAATGTGCACCTGATACATTTTTCCCATTCACAAAAACCGGAAGCATGTAAACAAATGCCATGGTGCAGTAGAGGGTAGTCTCTTTGAAGACTGAGGAAAGTACAAACTAAATAAAAAAATACTACTGTGTACCTTCAGAGTGTGTACACTCACAACTCTGTTTATTTTTCATGAAACAGAGCCTGATTTTGCACTTTTGTACATTGAGTAGTTTTTCTGTAAAAAGGTGAAAATAATTATGACCACAATGGCACTGATCATGCAGACCAACACTCCTTGCCAGGTTTACAGTTTTGAGTACCCTTTGAGTGAAAGTACAGTTCATTCCACAAATGAGTGACTCAAAATACTGAATGCTTCTTATTAAAGATGTGGTCTGTTTTGCTTTAAACAGTCATTTTTTATTTATTGTTATTTTTTTCGACAATTTTGATGTTTTAATTACTGCAACGTAAAAGTGAGATTTACGCAGCTCTATTCCCAATAATTTCTGCTAACTATGGGGCAAAACAAAACAAAATAAACTGTATCAATAATAAAATCTCAAGGCTTACATTATTTGATTAAATCTTCCAGTTTCTCATAAATTCTGGAGCTGCAAATATAACACGATGAAAAATTCAAATGTTTTGTCTCAAACTTTGATTCAGATTAATGAAACGTGTCTAGACTGCAAATGTGACTCTTAACAGAGTTTAATATGTTGGCTGTTTACTGTTAAATGTGAGACGTGACCTTTTCACCAGCGAGAGGCTTTCTGTCTAAGCTCCCTCTTAGCTTCCACATGCAGAACTCCATGTCACTTTACACTCCAGTCATGCAGTCATAGATCGGATTGTTGGGTTGACCTGGTCATGTGATGAACACTGTTGTAATTACCCAGCTATAAATAGTGCACCAAAAAGTTAATTAATTCTCCCACAGCATCCACTCTGTGTTATACTGCTTCCAGGTATGGGAAGACAAAAAAGCACTTTAGGTTGAAGAAAAGAAAACATCTTTCATTGTTTGATTCTTGGGATATCTGAGATTATTAGCTTTGTGAATAACTTTAGAACAAATTTCTACCATTTGTCACCTGGAGAGCAGATACAAAATGCTTCCAATCATTAACATAATGTCAATAAAGAAGTCGCTGTCTCCTTGTAATTTACCTAATCTATTTTTTCCTGCTCGTAAGTGAAAAACGGATGAAAGCGTCTCTGCTGCTCACACAGAAAACACTTTCCTTCAACAAAAAGAAACCAAGCTTAGAAGACATCAAACTTGGCTCAAAGTGAAAATTTCATTACTGGATCCTAAAAAAAAACCCAATGCAAGTTCCCTTTTTCCACTGAATTTTCCAGCCAATCCAGGGTAAAAAAGAAAAAAAACCCACAAAGCAAACTGCACCACAAAACTGCTGAAGCTACAGTTTAAACTTTAATCAGTGAATATTCCTTCAGGTACAATGAAATCGTAGCAAATTAAATTTAACAATGATTGTCAGATGCAGCCCACAGATTGATTTGACTACTGAAATGACCTAAAACTTTTGCAGCAACACACAACCTAATGTTTAGTTCTCAAATTGGTCGAAATATGTGCACATATGCTAAGTACATTTTTCATTTCCTGATTTCTTCGTTTTTGTGTATTTGTAACACTTTAATGTTTCTTTAAACAAACCTTGATTTTCAGAAATGATCCTCTGAGTATGAATGCAGAAGGCAGTTTTTTAAACTATGATTCCATTTATTTTTTCATTTATTAAGGGAAAAAAGATATTCAAACCTACCTGGCACTGTGTGAAAATTATTCAGGAATAGCGGAAAAAAAACTCGAAAGGCCACCCTGTCAAAATTACTTCGAGGGGACATCAACAAAGGCGGTCACAAAAAAACCCAGAATAAGATCTAAAGAATTGCAGCCCTCACTTAAGGTCAGTTAAGGTCAAAGTTCATAATTCAACAATAAGATAGAAACTGAGCAAAAATGGCATCCACGGGAGAATTCCAAGAAAACCACAGCTGACCAAAAAGGAGCAATCTTGTCTCACATTTGATGATCCCTGAGATTTTTCAGAAAGTATTCTGTGAATTGTAAAGTCAAAGCAAAAAATACTATTTCACAGCAGTCGACTGTGTCTTATTAAGTTGCTGGGCTGGCAGAACAGCTCCAGTGTGACTTCTAGAAGTCTCTGAAACTCTGTTTTAGCGGTGAAACAAAAAAATATTTCCTCATTTGTGTTTTAATGATGCTGGAAAGCATTTTGTTCAGAGGGGTTCAACGAGGATGAGAGCCGGCCATGACCGCGAGGGCCAAATGATATGATTTACAACACTAACATATTCATCAAGTCATCTGGTGACCTTCCATACCCTGTGGATTGGGGTATTGTCACTTTGGAAGAAAACACTCCCCTCAGGATAAAACCTTTCATAATAGGTTAGAGGTGACCAATTAGAGTTCCTTTGTATTGATTTTGACTGACCTCCCTGCAAAGGGGACATGAGCCCAAACAATGGCAGCAAAATACCCTGCACAGCATAACCAGAGCCCTTCACTCTTGGCCAAAAGGTCTGATTTTTTTTTAACATAATTTTTCAGCTGCCTTTTGAATCCAGCTACTTAAATGTTTTGACCTGATTAATGCCGATATTTTACAAAAGCAAAGTAAATTTGTTTTGGTCTTAAAACTTAATGCTCACAATTTTTCAGTGGAAAATCAGAAGAAAATGAATCTGCTTTAAGAACATATATAAATGTGATGCATATATTTCACCGCAGCAGATTTGTGATGGAATGAAAAACTTTTTTCTGCTTGCATGCCATTTCATTATATATAATCATTTTTTGTTTGAACAACAGTGTGTTCACTTTGAGCTCAGATGAGGGACATTTCATCACAGTTGCGCGGCCCCATGCTTGCATCTCTGAGCCTCAGATCTGGGAGCCCGAGTACCTCAGGACCCAAAGGCATTTAAACCTAACCCCACATAACTCAAGCACACATTCTGATTTCTAAAAGCTTGTTGACTCTTATGTGGGACTTCTCTTTGCTATCCTTAGCCTAAGGGTGCTTGATGACTCAGGGTTTCATTTGGTAATATAAGTAGATAAGATGCAAGTTTCATCTGCCTCAGGACTAATCAGATATGCCGTATCAGAGTTCCCTATATTACTTGAAATTCTCTTTGTCAGTTACTCTGAGTCTAATTGACCTGTTTCTAAAGACTGCAGCCTAAACGGCTGAGCTATTCTGCACAAAAATGGTCTCCTTCGCTTGGCAAAGACAGACCCAAACTCCTAAGAATGCTATGATATGTTGGCTAAATATGCACAAGAGTAGCTCAGAGCAAGGACATGCTAGAGAGCAACCAACCGCAGAGAGAAAACTGTAGGGGGGAGGACACAAAGTGCACTTCAGAGCACCTCGATGATCTACCAGGTTAAAAACAACTGCACACAACAAAAAATTATACCGGATAAAAGCAACAAAAAAGGTCAAAGCAATAACATTTTGGTGAAAAATACAGAAAGCCAATGGATACTATAGAGGGCAGTGACACGTTTTGACTGATTTTAACATGACACCGTACATTATCGAAGGGCTTAATGATAATGAGCAAGGCTGAGAAACTTTGCATGGCTGCAGGGTG